TTACCCCCACTGACGCTCTGCCATTCCCATCTCCCATGGCTGCCTTAAGAAGAACCGAAAAGGAGAGGAAGAAAGAAGATCTCCTTCTCCTCCCACCAAGCCTGGGCTGGCTCCCGGCAAATTTAATGAAAATGAAGGCACATCACACCAAAACTGATGTGACACAATGAAAGCGGTGCTAAGAGGAAAACTCATAGCTTTAAGTGACTACAAAAAGAAACTGGAGAGAGCACACACTAGCAGCTTGACAACACACCTGAGAGCTCTAGAACTAAAAGAAGCAAATATACCCAAGAGGAGTAGCTGTCAGGAAATAATCAAACTCAGGGCTGAAATCAACCAAGTAGAAACAAAAAGAAGTATGCAAAGAATCAACAAAACCAGAAACTGATTCTTTGAGAAAATCAACAAGATAGATAAACCCTTAGCCAGACTAACCAGAGGGCACAGAGACAGTATCCAAATTAATAAAATTAGAACTGAAAAAGGAGACATAACAACAGAAACTGAGGAAATTCAAAAAATCGTCAGATCCTACTACAAAAGCCTATACTCAACAAAACTGGAAAATCTGAATGAAATAGACAATTTTCTAGACAGATACCAGGTACCAAAGTTAAATCAGGAGCAGAAAACCATCTAAACAGTCCCATAACTCCTAAAGAAATAGCAGCAGTCATTAAAAGTCTCCCCACCAAGAAAAAAAAAAAAAAAAACAGGACTAGATGCTTTTAGTGCAGACTTCTATCAGACCTTCAAGGAAGACCTAATACCAATTCTCTTCAAACTATTCCACAAAATAGAAACAGAAGGAACACTACACAATTCATTCTATGAAGCCACAATTATGCTCATACCTAAACCACAAAAAAGACCCAACAAAGAAAGAGAACTCCAAACCAATCTCCCTTCTGAATATCGATGCAAAAATACTCAATAAAATTCTCACAAACTGAATCCAAGAACACATCAAAAACAATCATTCATCCTAATCAAGTAGGCTTTATTCCAGGAATGCAGGGATGGTTCAATATTCGGAAATCCATCAATGGAATCCACTACATAAACAAACTCAAAGAAAAAAATCACTTGATCATCTCACTAGATGTTGAGAAAGCATTAGACAAAATTCAACATCCCTTCATGGTAAAGCTCATGGAAACATCAGGAATCCAAGGCCCATACCTAAACATAGGAAAAGCAATATACGGAAAACCAGTAGCCAACATCAAACTGAATGGAGAGAAATTTGAAGCAATCCCACTAAAACCAGGGACTAGACAAGGCTGCCCACTCTCCCCCTACCTATTCAATATATAGTCCTAGCCAGAGCAATTAGGCAACAAAAGGAGGTCAAAGGGATACAAATAGTAAAGGAAGAAGTCAAAGTATCACTATTTGCAGATGATATGATAGTATACTTAAGTGACCCCAAATCTTCCACCAGAGAACTCCTAAACCTGATAAACAACTTCAGCATCGTGGCAGGATATAAAATTAACTCAAACAAATCAGTAGCCTTTCTTTACTGAAAGGATAAGCAGGCTGAGAAAGAAATTAGGGAAATGACACCCTTCACAATAGCCACAAATAATATAAAATACCTTGATGTAACTCGAAGCAAGCAAGTGAAAGATCTATATGACAGGAACTTCAAGTCTTTAAAGAAAGAAATCAAAGAAGATCTCAGAAGATGGGAAGATCTCCCATGCTCATGGATTGGCAGGCTTAATATAGTAAAAATGGCCATCTTGCCGAACACAATCTACGACTCAATGCAGTCCCCATTGAAATCCCAACGCAATTCTTCACAGAGTTAGAAAGAGAAATTCTCCAATTTATTTGGAATAACAAAAAACTCAGGATAGCGAAAACTATTCTCAACAATAAAAGAACTTCTGGGGAAATCACCATCCCTGACCTCAAGCTGTACTACAGAGCAATAGTGATAAAAAAAAATGCATGATATTGGTACAGAAACAGGCAGGAATATCAATGAATAGAATTGAAGACCAGAAATGAACCTACACACCTATGGTCACTTGATCTTTGACAGAGGAGCTAAAACTGTCCAGTGGAAAAAGGACAGTATTTTCAACAAATGGTGCTGGTTCAAATGAAGGATAACATGTAGAATGTAAATGCAAATTTAGCCGTTCTTATCTCCTTGTAAAAAGCTCAAGTACAAGTGGATAAGGAACCTTCACATAAACCCAGATACACTAAAACTAATAGAAGAAAAGGTGGGGAAGAATCTTGAATACTTGGGCAGAGGGGGAAAGTTCCTGAACAGAACACCAATGGTTATGCTCTAAGATCAAGAATTCACAAATGGGACCTCATAAAATTGCAAAGTTTCTGTAAGGCAAAGGACACTGTCAATAGGACAAAATGGCAACCAACAGATTGGGAAAAGATCTTTACCAATCCCACATCTGACAGAGGGCTAATATCCAATATATACAAAGAACTCAAGAAATTAGACTCCAAACAACCAAATAACCTTATTAGAAAATGGGGTACAGAGTTAAACGAAGAATTCTCAACTGAGGAAACTCAAATGGTTGAGAAGCACCTAAAGAAATGTTCAGCATCCTTAGTCATCAGGGAAATGCAAATCAAAACAACCCTGAGATTCCACTTCACACCAGTCAGAATGGCTAAGATCAAAAACTCAGGTGATACCAGATGCTGGCGAGGATGTGAAGAAAGAGCAACACTCCTCCATTGTTGGTGGGATTGCAAGCTGGTGCAATCACTCTGGAAATCAGTCTGGCAGTTCCTAGAAAATTGGACATAGCATTACCTGAGGACCCAGCTATACCATTCCTAGGCAAATACCCAGAAGATGTTCCAACATATAACAAGGACATGTGCTCCAGTATGTTCATAGCAGCCTTATTTATAATAGCCAGAAGCTGGAAATAACCCAGAAGTCCTTCAACAGAGGAATGGATACAGAAAATGTGGTACATTTACACAATATAGTATTACTCAGTTATTAAAAACACCGAATTCGAGAAATTCTTAGGTAAATGGATGTAACTAGAAAATGTCATACGCAGTGAGATAACCCAGTCACAAAAGAACACACATGATATTCAGTCTCTGATAATTGGACATTAGCCCAGAAGCTTGCAATACCCAAGATGGAACTCACAGACCACATGAAGCTCATGAAGAAGGAAGACCCAAGTGTGGGTGCTTCAGACCTTCTCAGAATGAGTAACAAAATACTCATGGGAGCAAATATGGAGACAAAGTGTGGGACAGAAACTGAAGGAGGGGCCATTTGGAGACTGTTCTACCTGGGTATCCATCCCGTGTTCAGTCACCAGAGGTAGACGCTGATGTTGATGTCAGGAAGTGCTTGCTGGCAGGAGCCTGATATAGCTGTCTCCTTAGAGGTCTGCCAGGGTCTGACATATTCACAGGCAGAAGATACTCACAGGTAACCGTTGGTCATGGGGTATCCAATGTAGGAGCAAGAGAGAAGACTGAAGGAGCTGAAAGGGTTTTTGGCCCCATGGGGAGAGCAACAATACCAACCAACCAGAGCTCCCAGGGCAAAAACCACCAGCCTGGGAGCACACAGGGAGGAACCCATGGCTCCAGTTGTATATGTATGGGAGGATGGCCTTGTCGGGCATAGGTTGAAGAGGAGTTCCTTCATCCCATGAAGGCTGGATGCCCAGTGTGGGGGAATTTGAGGGTGGGGAGGTAGGGATAGAGGGATGGGTGAGGGCACATCCTCATAGAAGCAGGAGGAGGGGAGATAGCATAGGGGGTTCCTGGGTGGGGAGGAAATGGGGTAAAGGGATAACATCTGAAATGTAAATAAAATATTCAATAAAATGAAAAAGGACATTTTTATAATATCTATATTTGCTCATAATTGGGAGAATTAAGCTCAACTGCACAATAACAGCTGTACTTTCCAGTCCTTGTACTTAAAAGCTATGAGGGAAAATACCATCTCATTTTATAAAATAGTCTTTATTATAAAAGATGAGTGAGAAGCTACTGCATTTCTTAGCGAGCTTTTCTACTGATGCCAGTGAGGAGTGGAAGGGAATAATAGCGGGCAGGAAGCTCTTAACACAGAAGCACTTGTTGGCAGGGTTTGTGGAGTGTGTCTACTGCACAGGCTCAGTGATAAAAGCTGTCAAGGTGATTACTCCATGTCTGTACTCTGTCGTACTGTATTCTGGATTGTGGTGATTGACAAGGTCAGGACAACAGAAGGCCACAGAGTCAGGGCCTGACACACAGTGATCACATCTGTTCCTTCTGAGTTACTACTGAGGCTGTCGGGAGGATCTGTTTCAGAGTTGCTCTCCTGGGGTTTGGTTCTCACACCTGGTCTAACCACTACCCCAGAAAAACAGATCAGGACAGCTGAGTAGAGACAGAGTTCAGTAATGAAGTGTTTGCAGTACCTACATGTGCACCTACTCAGCACCAGCACACAGGTGGGTCAGGTAGCCACACTGTAACTGTAATGCTGAGATAGTGTAGATTTGTGGAAATCACTGGCCTATCGTCCTGGATAACCACTGAGTACAATTCAAGAGAGGGACTTGGTCTCCTAAATAAATATACTGTTCTTAGTTTAGATTATATGGCTGTGAAGAGGCACTATGACCAAGAACTCTTACAGAGGACATTTAATTGGGGTGGCTTACAAGTTCACAGGTTCAGTCTATTATCAATTAGGAGAAGCATTACAGACTCTATGCAGGCTCTCAGGAGGAGCTTACATTTCTGCATCTTGATCTGAAGTCTGCTAGTAGAAGTCTAGCTCTTCTGCACTGAGCAGAGCTTCAAAGCCCACCCCAACAGTGATGCACTTACCCCAGCAAGGCCATATCCCCTAATAGTGTTACTCTCTTTGTCAAGCATAATGCAAATCTGCCCCAGTCCCACAGGGTGTTGAACTGGGATCAGAAGACCTGGAAGAGAGAACCGGGGTACACAAGAAACGAACAACCTGTTTGGAGTCTGGTGAAGCTGTCAAATTTTAATTTTTCCACATGAGGGTTATATACACAAAGAAGCAGGATATGGTAAGGGGGATGATGTAGGGTCTTCTTTGTTTCTGGGGAGCACAGGTGATCTCAGGTGGAATGCAGATGTTCTTCAGAACAGGATATTGGCTGGGTGAAGAGTTCACAAAAGAAACAGGGCGGAACAGGTCACTATGTACCTGTCCATAAGATCTATTAATAATTTATTTATTCTTATCTAAATTAGTACTTTCCCACCAAAGCTACCTGTCCATAAGATCTATGATTATTTGTTCTTATCTAGGCTGGTACTTTCCCACCAGGGCTACCTGTCTACAAGATCTATAGCTATCTGTTCTAGGGTTAGTACTTTCCCACAGAGACCAAGGCTTTGTGTCAGTAGGCACGTATGGCTGACTTAGGCCTATGGCTGACTTGGGCCATTAATATATAAGCAAGGTTGCTCCCAACACAAGCCACCACAACAATCTTCCTAAAATTTCTATATACATAAAATTTTTTGATCATGAAGCCAAATGTAGTGGTATCCTGCTTTAACTCCAGTGGGTTGGAAGGCAGTTAGGAGAACATGGATTTCAGGCAAGTTTGTCCTGAGGGAATAAGACTGTATCCCTGTAAATTAAGAGAAGATGAACTGACTGAGAAGTGGGTGGGAATAAAGCCTGGATAGAGAATATACTGTAGGTGGCAGGAATGAGCTAGGAGTTCTCTGCATCATTGCCCAAAGCCTGAGTCCCTAGGGAGTGGAAAATATGATTGGGGGTGGGGTGGCTCATGTGGGCAGGAAGCAACAGGACTGAGGTAAATCTAGAAAGACCTAAATGGAAGAGAGGAAGGAGGATGAAGGTCGGCTACCTGAGTACTAGCCTTCAGTGTCAGCTGTGGGTCCTTGCTGGAGAGAGGGTCTCTGGTCAGCCGAGTCTCAGAGGACTGGGGAGGGGTAGAAAAAAAGACTGAAAGGGGTCAACAGGAACACTGAGCCTGTACTAATAGCCAAACTGGATATTTTGTTACATTTTGCATCAGTGTTTGAAATGTTTAAAAACACTCATATTACTGATGAGTACTTTCCTCTTGTGAAAAAGATTAAATGAAGAAGTTATAGTAGTAAATTGTAGAAACACAAGGAATAGACCTGTGAAGGTACAGATGCAGCAGCTAGTAACCAATAATAGCCTGTAATCTCTAGGGCTGCAAAGGATCTTGGAAACCAGTGGATCTGGGAATGGGCAATTATTTCAAGAGGTAGTTTGTACAAATTCTAATGTACAAGACCATATCTTTTGCCCAAATATCTTTGTCTTAGCAACGTTGCTCAGGAGAGCCTCTTGCCAAATTCTATACCTCTGAGTTAATCCCGAAGGTGAAGTGACTTTTCACATCCAGAGATTACCCAAAAATATCAGAAGAGTTATTTATTTATTTGTTTGTTTGTTTGTTTGTTTTTATTTTTATTGGATATTTTATTTATTTACATTTCAGATATCATCCGCTTTCCACATTTCCCCTCCCTAGAACCCCCGTTCCATCCCCACTCCTTCTTTTTGCTTTTATACTATTTTAATTACATGTATGTATTAAGCTGAGTTCTAGGTTGAGGGTTGTCCTGTCCAGCAGGGCATTAAACAGGGGTCTGGGGAGATCACCTGAAAGAGAAGATGGGGTAAACAGGCGAACACAAGGAACACAGCTTGTCTATAGGCTGATCAAACTGTAATTTTTACTTTTTTGAACACAGGTTATATACACAAAAAGGCAGGATGTGGGGAAGGGGATAACACAGGAGTGTAGGTGTTCAGGGGGAGCACAGATATCTTTCAGAACAGAGTGTCAGCTGGGTGAAGGTTCAGGGGACAGACCACTATGACTCCACCTATGATTCACTTGTCTTTATCTAAGTTGGTACTATCCACCAAGGTTACCTATCTACAGGGTCTTATGACTAGCCAGGCTTGGCAGCCTTCCACCAAAGCTGTCTGTTTACAGTAACTCCCAGCTATCTGTTTCAGTATTTTTCCACAGAGACCCAAGACTTGGTGCTAACAAGCATGTATGTCAGGCCTATTGCTGATTTTAGGCCTATGGCTGATTTTAGGTCTTCAATGTATAAGCAGGGCTGCTCCCAACAGAGGGTCTAGCAATACAATAGATGAAAACACTCAAGGAAAAAGGAAGAAAATAAACACAAATAGTCAAAAAGCAATCAAGGCATTAAACTCAATTACAGGAACACTCCCGTGATCACTGTTTCTAAGGGCTTATCAGGATGACAAAACTATCTGACCCTACTTCCCTGTACTAGCCCAAAGTCCTTTGCAAGTCTGAAGCCTACTTCCTTATTCTAGCCTAATATTTAGATTTCTACCTGAAATTACTTCTTTGTTCTAGCCTAAGATTTAGATTCCTACCTGAAATTACTTCTTTTTTCTAGCCTTATGTCTGATTCCTGCCTGAAGCCTACTTCCTTGTCCTTGGCCAATGTCATATTCCAGCCAAGCAGCCCATTTCCTTGTCCTCAGCCCATGTCACATTATTGCCAAGCAGCCCCAAAGGCTCTCCACCTCTCCCTGCGCTTTTATTTCATTAACAAGACTGAGCCTGTTTATCCTATTCAAATTATTAAAAGGAGGTTCAAAATTTAAGGGTAAGGAGTCATCTCCAGTGCCATGCCAAATACCATTGTATTTATGTTAGTTCTAAAATTTACAGTGGTAGTCATTATAATTAGGAAGAAGTTTAAAGACACTTGCAGTGTATTTGACATTATTCTAACACCTGTCTGGATGTTTTAACAATACATAGGGAGCTTATGAATTTCAAGGATGCTTCTCTGCTCAGTGTTGATGCAGTAGATACTGCTGCAGATAAAAGTACCCATGGTACTTCTACACAGGACTTTACCAACCAAAGACTTGCTTTGGATAATGCATATTCCATGACAGGTAAGGAAGGCATACTTGTCAAAAGAGCCATTTCATGTCACAAGAATCCTGCCTTTTTTATTGTAACTGTAGCCAAAGCCCCCAGTTAAGAGTCCTGACCCATTACATCACCACAGAGAGTATCCATCAGTAGTGGCTAGTTTTATGACAACTTGACACAAGCTTCCTCATGTCATCAGAGAGGAAGGAACATTAATTGAGAAAATGCCTCTATGAAATAGCTGTAAGGTATTTTCTTAACTAGTGATTAATGGAGGAGGTCCCAGCTCATTGTGGTTGTGTCATCTCTGAGATGGTGGACCTGGATTCTGTTTGGAAACAGGATGAGAAAGCCATGTGAAGCAAGCCAGCATGTAGCACCCATCATAGCCTCTCCCTCAGATGCTCCCTCCAGGTTCCTGCCCTGCATTAGATCCTGTCCTGAGTTCCTCATGTGATGAATAGAGCAATGCTTAAGTATAATCTTGTAGCAGCATATATTCCTTCCAAGATGGGAGGAGCTAATGTGGGAGGAGTAAGGAAAGGAAGAGAAGAAGGAAGAGGAGGAGCTAGGGGGAGAGGACGAGAGAGATGGGTGGGGGGAACATGGCAGCGGACCTGCATGTGTCTCTAGCAGTCAAAGGTAGTTGATATATCTAGGTTGGATATTGAGTTACACATCAAATTGAGCATCTTGTCATTGAGCATTACCAAATATATAAAGCCTTTGAATAATCTTTAAACATTAGAGTCTCATTTCTACCAGGTACCACGTGGATGATGGGATGGCTGGGCTAAGCCCAGCCTTGTGGAGACAGCATGGAAGATTGGCAGAGCCATCTCCCAAGCTGGCATCTCATGGGTGCCAGGGCCAATGTTCTGGCCTGCCTGAGTCAGTGGCCTGAGCTGAGGCAGCAGGGAAAACACACCACTGCTCATGACCTCAGGACTTGTCTAATTGGGAACATGGCAGCTCTGTAACACAAGATAGGTCAAGTGCTGCCGTTGTAAAAATTACCAGCAACATAATCTCAATAAACCTTTTCCTCCCCAACTTGCTTTTTGGTCATGATGTTTTATACTGAATCAACAGAAACTCTTCATAAATCCTACTTCCTTAATGAGCTGATTGAAAATGTTTTTATAGTCACTCATTATTATGTATGAGTTTTTCTTTGTTTTTGTTTTGACATAGTGTCTTTTGTATCCCAGATTATCCTCAAACCTAGTATGAGCTGAGAATGGGCTTGAACCTGATCTTCCCACAACCAACCACAAATTCATTGTCTATTACATTTGGAGGATGATAGTTTATATTCTCACTGTAAAGATGAAGAAACTGATACCAATGAATGTAAGATTTTCTAGGACAAATTCTCCTTTTCCAGGTGAAAAATTTTTGATTAATTGTCTTTCATGATTACTATTGATGTGATGAACTAGCATGCAATACTTAAGAACATTAATTTGGGGCTTGGACTCTATAATTTATTTTGTTGTTATTTTGTGATTTTTTAAATAAATCATTGCTTATTTATAGTATGACAGATACCAAATACAAAAAAAACAAAACAAACAATAAAAACTTCATTAGAGGGCTGGAGATATGGCTCAGAGGTTAAGAGCATCGATTGCTCTGCAGGAGGTTATGAGTTCAAATCCCAGCAACCACATGGTGGTTCACTACCATCCACAATGAGATCTGTTGCCCTCATATGGGTATCTGAAGACAGCTATAGTGTACTTTTGGCCAGAGGATGCATGGCCAGAACAAGAAGGAGAAGAGAAGGGGGAGAAAATCTTCATTAGATACTTTACATAAAATGGTTTGTTTCATATTTATAATTTTTATTTTTAAAAATATATAATTCCATATATAATGCATTTCAGCCATTCCCCTCTGTCCCACCTCTCTCATCTCCCTTATACTCCCTTCAAATATTCCTCTTTACAAGTCTCTTTCTCACATTCAGAACTTTGGGTTTGTCTTGTGACCCACAGAGTTTAAACAGGGCTAACTGTGTGATCTTGGGTTTCAGACTTTCCACTTAAGTCCTGTTAGCTCAAATGTGAGCACATATGTGAAATCATGACTGCTTCTCTCCCATGATCTACCAGTAGCCAAAAGTTCAGCAGAATGGTGGATGGGCCCACTGAGTTTCCCTCTGTTTCGTGCTGATGAGGGATTCAGACCCTCATATGCAGGTAGCTATAGAGTCGGGATAGAGACCATGGTTGCCTTGGTTGTGCATGACCACAATATTGTATTTCCATTCCTTCTTCTCATCTTCTGGCTCCTGCACTCTTTCTACTCATAGTTCACAATGGTCTAAGCTATAGAGGGGATGCTCTAGGTGTCCTGTTTGTGGTTAGGTACTTGAGTGTCCCTTAGCCTTGTACTTGAGCAGTCATGAGTCTCTGCATTCACCACAGTTCACAGAAGTAGGATCCTCTCTGCGTCATTCTGGCTGTAGCATTTGTCCATGAATATAATTATAAACATTCAGAAGATAGTCTGGAATCACATCTATTTAAACAACTGCAGAAAATTTCTCCCCCAGGATCTAAGAACTTCTAATATCTTAACCTGTAATAACTGCACATAGGTAATTGTTAAGAGGATAACCATTATACAAACTAAAGCCAAGTGATTCTCCCAGAAGCCCCATGATGAGAGATTGATGTTCTGGATCGTCAAGAATTCTTCACCAGTACATCTGTAATTCAACACATACAAAGGTAATGTCAAAGTTTATTCAGTATATTTACTGTTGCTTCTCTTAAAAACTCATAATTTCATCATTAAAAAGTTCCTTTTATTTAAATGACAGTAATTATGATGCGCTTACAAATATGTTATGTATTATGCCAATCAACTGAAACTAATTGAGTCAGGCACCTTCGTTAATTTCAAAAACTATCCAGAGAAGTGTAGCTGCCATATCTACTTAAAAGCATAGCCATGGTGAGTTTACAGTCACACTATGATCCAACTCTGTAGACTTCATGGTGTCATTCCTTTCTAAATCTGTAATGCTGCTCTCTTCAAAGGGCAAACGCATGGATCAAGTATTGCTACTCCTGAAGCAGAAAACCCCAGCTTTCTAAGGACATAGATATTCCAAGGAGATAAGAGTTTTGTCATCATTTTGCTAACACAGGAGACAGTCATGCACAAGAACAGAAGCATGCAATTCTAGACCTGGGATCAGAGGAGCTCAAGAGTTTCAGGCAGAAGTCAGTGAATTGATGTCTTCTCCTGTACTAAGACTGAAGTGACAACCACAGCAGCTTAGCTACAGGACATCCTCAGCAGCAGATGTCACATACTGAGCCTGTGGTAGCAGTGGGAGCACAGTCGCACGAGTGGGTCTGACACAG